GAGAACAGAAGCTGGGGCCAAGAGGAAGAAAACCTTGGCAAGCTTTTTTTAAGACAACAGCACTGGCACCACAACCTGTCAATCAATCAGAAGAAGACAAAGTCAAAGTGGAGCTGACAGCCTATTTGATGTCTCCTGGTGTAGATTCAGACACAGACCCACTTCACTGGTGGCAGGCTAATGAGGCAATCTTCCCCAGGCTCAGCAAACTTGCAAGAAAAATACCTCTGTATTCCCGTTACCAGTGCCCCTTCTGAGAGAGTGTTCAGTGCAGGTGGGAACATTATAACCTGTCATGGAGCATCTCTAAAGCCTGAAACAGTAGACAGACTGGTCTTCCTCTCAAAAAGCTTGTGAAGAACAACTACATGTGATATATCAACATGTTTGCATGATTTGTATGATGGTCAGCAAAGTGTTTTTGTTTGCATGATGGTCAGCAAAGTGCTGTTAGTAAATGTTTGTGTAAAAAAAAAAAAAAATTTTTTTTGGGTGTAAATGTGCTTAATTTTTGAGTTCACTGGTTAAAATCATTGGTCATTGATTAAAATGGTTAATTTCTTACTCTGTATTCAGAAGATTTCAATATTTACTTTCATATTTAATTCAGCTGCAAAGACATTTCATTAGAGAATTTGTTTTACATTTATTTACACCTTTTTGAGCAATTTATGTATGGCATGCACACAAATAAAATGTTTCTTAAACTGATGGTTTTTCAAGTTACTTAAAAAGAGAATGTTACTTCAGCCATGTTGTTGTACTTGTGTTGGCTAGTTACACACACAAAAAAAAAAAAAAATCGAAATCGTGAATCGGTCACATTTTATGAAAAAACCTAGGTTTTTTATTTTTTGCCATATCACCTAGCCCTAGCTTGCACATTCCAGCATCTTGTACTGGTCCTTCAGGCAAACAAAGATATAAATAAAATTGGCAGAGGTATTTTCAGCAGCTACAGATTCAGTTCTCTGTACAAACAAAAAGGACGTACAGTGATCCCTCGCCATATCGCGGTTTGTCTATCGCGGACTCGATATATCGCGGGTTTTCAAATATATTATATGTAAAATATTATCGCGGGCCCCTCACAATACCGCGGGTTTTCCGAGGAGGTACGTCCTAAATTTTTTTTTAATTCTATTAAAAATGGCAATTTCGTGTCATAAATTAATATTGTAAATTAAATTAATAAACAAAAGAAGGACGAAGTTATGTGAGTGTCGGCCGCCATGACGGCATCAGTGAATCCATACGGAAGACGGCAAGTGTTACAGTTAATACGACGGCGAAGAGGGTGGTAACTTCCCATAATAAGTACATTGTGAGGATGGAATCGGCATGGATTTTCATGCCCTACTTCGCGGATTTTCGCCTATCGCGGGGGTGTCTGGAACCTAACCCCCGCGATAGGTGAGGGATCACTGTAATTTGAACAAATGTTGCAAGGCCGTAAAAAAGTTGTCACACAGTATTATGACAGCATATGTGCGTTCAAGGTGAAGCTGACTTTGTGGGAGACACAGCTGGCATGTGGTGACCCTGCTCATTTTCCCTGTCTAAGAGATGTACGTGCGACTGTCATTAATGCTGACATGAAATGGTACAAAGACAAGATTTCAAGATTGCTGTGGGAGTTTGAGAAACGGTTTCAGGTCTTTGGTAAACTCGAGACAGAATTCGCAGTTTTTCTCTCACCCTTCACAGTAAAAGCTTCTGATGTGCCTGTCGACATCCAATTAGAAATAATTGATTTGCAATGTGATAAAAATTTGAAGAACAAATTTGCCTCAGTGGACTTGGACACATTTTATCAGTATCTCCTGCCAGGGTACCCCAAATTAACAGCCCTAGCTGCAAAGGTTTTGTGCATGTTAGGGACTACCTACCTTTTGTGAACAGGTTTTCTCAGTAATGAACATCAGTAAAACAAAACTGCGCTCAAGGCTCACACGCCAACACTTAAATGACATTCTGAAACTGGCTGCTACTCAGGACATGACGCCTGACACTGATGCACTTGTGCAGGCTAAAAGATGCCAAGTTTGAGGAGCAAAAACAAAGTAGTCTAAACTAGATTGATTCTTGTAAAATGCTCACTCAAAAAATACAGTTCTGTAAAAATGAATCATTGCTTTAATAATAGTTAAAAATTGTGCAATTTAAAGTTAGTCACCAGCTTCACTACAAAAGAGTTTGGTCATAAATTTTATGTATGTTTCATGTATAAATCTTATATTTACAGGCCAGGTGATTACTTGCTTTCTTATAATCCAGAAGAAGAACATGAGGCAGGCCTAACCCTTGAATGTCTCTCATCGATAGTAAGAACGGTGAAGGAGGCTCAGTCAATGGCTGAAGACTGGGACCCGGACATGATTCGTTCGTTGCAGTTCCGAAATGCAATCGATGGTGCATTGCATGCATACAAAAACCTGCTACAGCAAAAGAAAAAACAGGCTCAGCAACTGCCCATCACAATGTATTTTTCAAGGAAAAAAAAAGAAGACCCTGGAACTGCAACGGAAGTGACGACGCAGGACCAACCGGACGACGATATTGTGCCACTCAAGGAAGCACCTGATGAAAAGGTGCTTTCTGAGGAGGGGGAAGAGTAACGCTCTTCTTTGCTGTGCAGTACCTCATCATCATCATCATCTACATACGTACAGTACTGCACAGCTAGTCATCGTCATCATCATCATCTTTATAATCAAGTTTACGTATTGTCACTGGTGAGTGTTCCGATTTTAATTTTTTTTAATTTAATTTGGTGTCTAGTTTTCATTAAATACTGTACATACAGTATCATTACATATTGGTGAGTGTTCCGATTTTATTTTATTTTTTTGACTGTAAATCATGTTGTACTGTATAAGTACAGTATGTTGGGGGGTATACAGTACAGTACTGTATAAGTATGTTGGGGGGGTATATAAGTATGTTGGGATGGTATATAATTATGTTAGGAGGGTATATAATTGTTGGGAGGGTTTACAAAAGCTTAAATTTATAAAAATAAAAAAAGAGTAGGAAAAATTATGAAAAAAAAAAACACCGTAGATTTTCATGCCCTACTTCGCGGATTTTCGCCTATCGCGGGGGTGTCTGGAACCTAACCCCCGCGATAGGTGAGGGATCACTGTATAGCCTTTCTGCTTGCCTACATAACCATAACCACAGTAATCCACAGTTCCAAGTTTCCAGGGGCCTATTTCAAGAAGGCGGTTCAACAAACTCAGAGTTCAAACCTGAACTCTGGGTTGACTTACTCAGAGTTGGAAAACTCGGAGTTTTCGGTTTCAGAACAGCTGAAAAGAGTTGGTTTAATCAACTCTGAGTTGTCTGACTCAGAGTTAGGCGCGTGCCAC